TATAGTCCAAACACCTAAAAGTGTAACAATGGAAACTTTAGGTACCTATTTTTAACGAAAAATTCTTTAAGCACCTAAAGTTAATTTTGATTATAGTTTGGACACATATTTTTACATTAAGCCTTTTTGAAATTGATGACCAAAATAAGACATGCCAAAAATATACTTGATAAGTCGTATAATTGCATATAAATTTTATTTATTCTTCTACATTCTAGGGTTCTAATTTATCTACAACTCTATATTTTACCAAGAATTTATGTTCTATAGGTATTTGGACTTATTAGATATATTATCTATCCTTAAACAAGAATTTGGTGGAATTAGGACACTTGAAGAGAAAATAGGCGCAAGACAAAGATTACATGGATGAGGACTCCTAGTTCGATTTAAACTCTAATGCTTATTTTTATATTATGATTAAGATAAGACTTAAGAGAGAAGTAATTTAAATATGTCTGTGGGGGGATCATCAACTTCATATCTCATTTTTTTTTCTTACATTTTTTTTCATGAATTGCTAAACTCCTCCTAGTCATGAATATTTCAAAGTTTTTAATTTAAAGAATCGTGAAAGTTCTTCATCTTTATTTTCTTTATTCTTTTTGAATATTTGTGTGTCTTCTATTTCTTTTGTTAATTATTAATTTGTAAATTGCATGAACTTACCATTCTATAAGTTATTAAATCTTTATATTGCTAATTAAATTATCCACATTCGTAATTGTGGTAGGTTTTAATACAAGTAATAAAAAAATTTAGGAATGAATTACGAAGATATAAGAACTAGCTTGAATCATCCATGCGTTGTGAGTTGGTTAACTACAGGCTAAGTCTCTTTAATTAATAAAGTTGTTAAATAGATTAAATCTTAGAAGCATCTCTAAGAGATTGTTCAATTAACAATGGAATTAAACATTCAATCATCTCTTTGGTTAACCTAAACTAAGAAGAGATTAAATTATTAGAGCATCTCGAGTAACAATAACCAACCTATTCAAAAAGAGTTTAAATAATCCTAAGTTCAAATTTATGATTGAATCACAAATTAAATGTTAAGAATCATATCTAAAACATCCATCGGTCTACATTTAACATGATATCTCTTACCATAATGGTCACAACTAGGTCAATCCGGAAGCCTCGCACAAGAATCAGAAGCAATAATCTAACCACTTTATTGCCTCGAATGGCTCATTTGTGCACCACGACGGGGACTTATAAAAAAAATCACGACTTCTCTTAATCGAATGACCAGACAACTATAACAATTAATAATCCTCTCATCAGAGTCAATCGTCACACTAGAAGTTACCATCATTATCTCTTCTATAGCTTTGGCCTGGTCAATCAATACATTGAAGATATTCGAGCCACTGGTCACCAAGTACATCTCTTAGACCAATTCAGATTGGAACCTCTTACATCTGTCCTTTTAAGTATGCATCATGTCTAAAGTATACTTAAAAAAATGAATAAAATCCATTTCTTACTCTAAAATAGTTATGAGAAAATAACCTCAGTGATCAAAAATATCAGATAATATACGATTGTGATTAATTTTTTTTGGATTTACGAAAATGACTAACAAAATCGTAATGCGATCTCTAATTCGCATTGCGATCTCCACTATTACAAATTCGCGTTGCATTTCGCGTTGCGATAGTTGAAAATCACGTTGCGATTTTCTATTTCGCGTTGTGATAGTCCAAGTTGTCGTTGCGATAGTTTCCAAATTCGTTGCGATAGTCTACAGTTGTCGTTGCGATTTTCCAAATTCGTTGCGATAGTAAAAAAAATATTTTGTTTCTTAAGAATTTTCTCTAAAAAGATAGTATCCGCGCGTACGTGTCGAAGACACGTATTACCACGACCACGACCACGACCACGACCCCGACCCGAGACGAGACGGCGGCGGTGCGCGAGAGTCCCCTTTGTTCTCTTCCACTCAACAAGGAAGTGGGAAATTCAAGCCTTAAATATCATTCCCAATAGTGTTTCTAATACTATGTGGGATTGAGCATTACCAACACCATAAAATCTTAGTTCCCGACCACATATCAAAACCGTTTGATTATTTCAGATTCATTCGATTAAAGAACAAGAAAGATATATACCAGACCATAGATTTGAGATCTCTTTCCATTATGACTTGAAAGGCCTGAGTCATATCTAGTTCACTACTACTTCCCTAACTTGACTTTCAAAAACAGTGGAGAATGAACATAGACAACTATTGTTAACTCAATCAATAACAGACGATACCGCAAATCAAGCCCTTGAACCAATCACTTTAGCGATTAATTTCCAATAAGTTACTCTTGATACTCATGGATAACCATCATAAGACGCATTAAAACCACCGATCAAGTAAGATTATCTAATACTTTCACATGTTCCGCTACCATAATATTAATTGAATAGAAATGTTTCGAGGAGAAAACAACTGCCTGTACTTATTTACTATATTCTATTAGCATTTTCCTATACAGAGATTTAGAAAAATACACATATATCAAAGAAATGCATGCTCATTACATAGTCAAGGAAGCACTAAAACAGATGCTTATGTATGCAGTTTAACAGTCCCTTCATATTTCGGTCTCTTTGATTAGTAAGTGGTGGTCGGGAACTAAGATTCTATGGTGTTGGTAATGCTCAATCCCACATAGTATTGGAAATACTATTGGGAATGGTATTTAAGGCTTGAATTTTCCACTTCCTTGTTGAGTGGAAGAGAACAAGGGGGACTCTCGCACGCCGCCGCCGCCGTCTCGTCTCGTCTCGTCTCGGGTCGTGGTAATACGTGTCTTCGACACGTCCGCGTAGATACTATCTTTTTAGAGAAAATTCTTAAGAAACAAAATCTTTTTTTTTAACTATCACAACGAATTTTCACAACGAATTTGGAAAATCGCAACGACAACTGTAGACTATCGTAACGAATTTAGAAAATCGCAACGACAACTGTAGACTATCGCAACGCGAAATGGAAAATCGTAACGCGATTTTTAACTATCGCAACGCGATTTTCAACTATCGTAACGCGAAATGCAACGAGAATTTGCGATAGTGGAGATCGCAATTCGAATTAGAGATCGCAATGCGAATTAGAGATCGCATTGCGATTTTGTTGGTCATTTTCGCAAATCCAAAAAAATTTGATCAAAATCGTATATTATCTAGGATTTTTGGTCACTGAAGTTATTTTCTCAATAGTTATACTCCATTGAACTAAGTTGAGGGTGAATATTAAACTTGTAAAATTTATTTTTAAAAAAAATATATTTATTTATTTATTTATTTTATTAGATTGATATATCAACGATCAGGTAAGGAATTTAATTTTTAATTTTAATTTTTAATATTTAATATTTAATATTTATTTAATTTTAATTTTAATTTTAATTTTAATTTTAATTTTAATTTTAATTTTAATTTTAATTTTAATTTTAATTTTTTTTTTAATTTTTAATTTTTAATTTTAATTTTTTTAATTTTAATTTTAATTTTTAATTTTAATTTTAATTTTTAATTTTTAATTTTTAATTTTTAATTTTAATTTTAATTTTTAATTTTAATTTTTAATTTTTAATTTTTAATTTTAATTTTTAATTTTAATTTTTAATTTTTAATTTTTAATTTTTAATTTTTAATTTTTTTTTTAATTTTAATTTTTAATTTTAATTTTTAATTTTAATTTTTAATTTTTAATTTTTAATTTTTAATTTTTAATTTTTAATTTTTAATTTTTAATTTTTAATTTTTAATTTTAATTTTTAATTTTTAATTTTAATTTTTAATTTTTAATTTTTAATTTTAATTTTTAATTTTTAATTTTTAATTTTAATTTTAATTTTTAATTTTTAATTTTAATTTTAATTTTTAATTTTAATTTTAATTTTAATTTTAATTTTAATTTTAATTTTAATTTTAATTTTAATTTAATTTTAATTTTAATTTTAATTTTAATTTTAATTTTAATTTTAATTTTTAATTTTTAATTTTTAATTTTTAATTTTTAATTTTTAATTTTTAATTTTTAATTTTTAATTTTTAATTTTTAATTTTTAATTTTTAATTTTTAATTTTTAATTTTTAATTTTTAATTTTTAATTTTTAATTTTTAATTTTTAATTTTTAATTTTTAATTTTTAATTTTAATAGCCCTAGCGAGTGCATTGCACCTTGATAATACAAAAGAAGTTATAAAGATATTTTTCGCTTGGCCAGTGATTTTTAAGATTTATGAGATAAATACGAAGGTGCAAATCAGAGAAGAAATAGGCAAAACAGCGGGACGTACAAGCAATGGATCCGAATCAAGAGCAATCCACGTGGCTAATCCTGGACCCTGCAAGAGATAGAAGCGAATCGGAATCTGGGCGCTCAACTAACGACACATGGCCACAGTCACCGAAGGAAAGCAAAGAACTCGTTGTACGCTGCCACCACTTGATATTATAATAATAATAAAATCTTCAAACAAACCGAGGCCGTAGCAAACGGTAAGGAGGTTAATTTAATGCCATATATAAATAAATACATTTTACATTTCCTCCTAAGACGTGGCAGTTATTCCCACCACAGCCTTCTCTGCTTCTCTGCTCCAACACCCCTGACTTCCGATTCCGCAAATACTTTCTCTTTCGTACTGTTTTCGAAATGACATGTTTGCCCCTTTTCAATTTATTGTTTTATTCAACATTAATATATATAATAGACCCCTTTCAATTTACAGGAATAAAAAGACCGCATTTTTTATATTATTACACTTATTTTAGTGGTATAATTATATCTATTTATAGATATAAGGTGAAAAGTTAATTTCAAGAAATCAATTGATTTATTTTAGTATTTTTAGAAACAATATTATTGTAAGTGGTGGTGGCGCTGCCAGCTTGGTTGGTAAACTGGAAGTATTCTGAATGGTAAATTTGTAATTTGGGGGAAAAAGGAAGGCTGTTTCTATAAGCCACTGCAGTTTGATGTCTCTTTTCTCTTCCATTCCAATCGCTCATTCTCTCCGTATACAAGAAAGAGAAAACTCTTGAGAAAAAAATATTCTCCAAGAAAACGAAAGAAGAAGAAACCGGCAGATAGGATAAAGCCAAAATTTCTCTCTGGTTTCGGTTGAAAAAAGAAGGAAAATGAAGAGCTGTGAGCTCTGTGATTTGGCGGCAAGGACGTATTGTGAGTCGGACCAAGCGAGTCTGTGCTGGGACTGTGATGCTAAAGTGCACGGAGCCAACTTTCTCGTGGCGAGGCACGTGAGGTGTCTTCTCTGTCACGCGTGCCAGTCTCTCACGCCGTGGAGAGCCGCTGGTACCCGGCTCGGTCACACGGTGTCAGCCTGTGAGAGATGCGTCAACGGCCGCGATCGAGAAGACAGCGAAGCGGAAAATGAAGAAGACGGTGTGTCTGATGATGAGGCGGAGGAGGACGGGGATAATCAGGTGGTGCCGTGGTCCGCAAATACGCCTCCGCCGCCTTCGAGTTCATCTAGTAGCGATGAATATTCTGATGGCGAAAGAGAGGTCTGTAAATCAACAAATTTGTTTCCGTTGAAAAGATCGAGAGAAAATGCTTCAGATCTACGTTATAAGGTCGGTTTTTATTTTCTCTTTGTTATTTCATTTTAAATCCTCTTCCCATTTCCCTTCTCCTCTGCATTGATTAATCATTTTCTAGGTTTTATTCACTTATTTATTTGTCATTGCAATTTGCAGGACGATCTGGATCCATTATCTCCTAAACGGAGGTACGGTTACCGTTCTATTTTGACGACTCCGTGCGGAGCAGAGGACGATGCCGTTTCTGTTGATTCTATAAGGGTGTTAAAAGAACAGTCGATCAAACAGGAGGAGGCCGTTCAGTTGCAGTCTGAATCGAGTGATTCGGTAGGCACGGCGAATTCATAGTCATTAAGGAAAAGGAAAACAAAAAATAGGCCCTCGTAAAATCCGGTAAAATATCTTTAATCAGTTAGTGATAGTAATTGCTTGGCTGTTTGATTAAGTTGGTTTGGCTAGAGATTTCTGATGATCTAACCTATTATAACGATAGTCCATGATTATTGATCTTTTATGGGTTTTGTTAACCCTCTTTTAATACTTAGTTTGTGTGCTGATTACTTGAGAAATTTACTAGTTTTACTAGTTTGATCTCTTTCTGAGATTTTGTAATATGATCATTTTACTCTATGTGTCATGATTATTGGTTTGTTTTTAGTGTTCTCCTCTCCATTTCCCCCGCCGTTCTTATTTTGAATTTTTTTTCAAGTATATTTGAAACCTCTTATGAATCAAAATGTACATAAAATATGAAGGATGAATTCCCGGCACCAAGTAGTTAACAGCCAACTTAATGATGTTTATTTAGACTAAATCTTAGTCTTTAAAGCAAATGGAGGTTCAGATGAAGGGTATTTATAAGCCCCCGTATAGTTAACTAATTTAACTAATAATTGTACAAGCTAAGAAACTTTAGTGATTAATAAATTGTTGTTATTCCTTATATTTCAGGTTCGAACATGAACATAATGTATGTAAGGATATGAATGTTTAAAGTTAAATGAATAAGAATCTTTAAACAAATATTATCTTGTATTTAATTTACATTGATAAAAAATAGCAATTATGTTCATCACAAAAAGGTATTTTGCACATAAATTTGCTATATATCGGTTTCAAATAAGTTAATATTGGCAGCAGCGAACGTAAATTGAGCACATGCTAGTGGGCGAGATAATAATTTTATGTCTCTATATTTGTATCGTATATTAGACAACGTTGATAATTTTTAAAAAAAATATAATAGAAATTATAGTCAAATAATATCAATACGAATACAAATTAAAATCTATAAGGTTACAAATATCATTTAAAAAATATTGTTTTTATACATTTTTTGAAACAAAAATCTCTTTTATTTTATGATAATCAAGATTTTGTAAAAATTAACTTTTGATTTTTAGAATTGTTAATCCGTTCAATTTATCTTGAGTTATCGCACTTTGAAAATAGAATTTCAAGAGTTTTAAATTTAAAAAACTGATCAGGTATTTTAGGTTAATTTTTTAGGTTAAGTATATATATACATACTATAGGCACTAGAAAAATGAAGTTCCCCTCAAATATTCGGTCTTGGCTAAGGCCTCTGGGCCGGGCGTGACTGAGCGGAGCTTGCCTTGTGCATGTTGACTTCCAAGCACATCAAACAAACTCACATCCCAAAAACAAAAGCATGTTGATAAATGTTCATATATTTTTGTCAATTTAATTTGTACTTGTAATGAAATTTAATCTTTTGACCTTTTTAGTTAGATTGGTGTGAATTTAATTAAAATGAGAATGAATCAAGTGTTGTTCCTTTTATATGTCTAAGATTAGAGTAACTACGTCTGTTGAATGTATACGTTGTTAATAATTAAGAAAAAAATTATATAAATATTTTGTAATTATCTGAAAAAATAAAAATAATAATTGAGTTGTCAAAATTTTACAATATTTATGCGATGATCAGCATAACAATCCGCATGTATTTTAATGTTAATATAATATTATTTTATAAACATAATAATATATTATCTTACTTTATTTTATAAATAAATTTATTTTTATCTAAATTTAAAAATTACTAAATTTATTATGATTTTGCCTAATCTTATAAATAAATTTCTAGTTATTATAATACGAAATTGAAAAAAAAAAGTACTTATAGTCTCGCTTTTTGATCCATCAATAATCTAACATATTCAAGCTTATTCGAAATACTTCAGTGATCTAAGTAACACCTTAACATTAGGTTAGTCGTAAATAAATCAGAAAGGTCACACCAATTGATTGGGGTTTAGTCGAAGTTAAATAAACCTAAATCAAATAAATAGGCTTTCAAACAATCAATAATAATTTATTTATGGACTAAATTAACATTTATATCAAATGTAAAAGTCTCACAATAATATACATCATCAAAAGGGGTTGAATATACAACTTTTCCAAAATGGGTCTTGTTAGCTTATTCGATCAACCAAAATACACCAAGAGTTAGTGAATCGGTCTTTTAAAATTTTGCTGTGAAATATAAAATTTTTACATAACGATTTAGAGTTGTTCGACTTCTAAACCAAGTCTACATCTACTCTCTTAGCATCAACACTAAGGATTTATCAAATCCACTAGATTTGCTTACCATTAAGGACATAGTGTAACCTTACAAACACTTCAAGATTTATAACTCAAACTTTGAATACACACTCTCGTAAAGAGTAATTGCAAATTTTAAAAAGAAATCTCACAAGATAAATGTGGTTGCAACAAATAAGTTCTTACCCAAATCACACTTGAGCAAAAATAAACAATATAGCTTACAAGTGTGTTACAAAGAATAATAATATAAATAAGCTCTTGAAAAATCTTTTGACGTTGGTATGATCTTTTAATAATATTTTATTGGTTATTTACATTTGATTTTTGGTCCTTTTTATATCCTCTTATGAATTTTTAGTCGTTTGAAGTAGTTGGTGGTTGATTACAACTGTTGAAAACATTAACTTAGAGCATGAAATGCTCACTCGCAACTTTGATATTGGTACCAAAAAATGGGTACCAAGATCAAGCACTGTCACTTTGAATATTATAATCGTTGGAGCCTAAGATGTTGATACCATGGAATGAGTATCGATACTCACACACCGATATCGAAACTGGGACCTAAGTATTGATATTGAACCACATTTTGAAATGTTGGTATCGAAACCGGGACCTAAGTTTCGAGACATAGGAGTAATTTTTGTCAAAATTAAATATTTTTAGCCTTAAAAAATGTTTGTAAATTATGGGATGATTCAAAAGTACTTAAACTACTTTTTACAATTGAAAATCTCTTGAAAATTACATTATGACAATTTTCTATATTTTCTTAAAATACAAATTTTGTCACTTAAAACACATAATTTATGTATGTGAAAATAAAATAGATTATGTTAGAAGACTGCTTCAAGACTGAAACAAGTCCACACGTTTTTTTGTTAAGTTGATTGTGTCAATGTTTGTTCCTATTTTTTAGGAAGTAGTTATTATGTTATTCACGATCTCTAAACATAGAGAAAGTTTATGATCATATTGTTAGTGGTTAGTTTTTTGTTTCTGCTTTAAAAACTGTAACGTTTCTGATTTTTAGGAAGCAATTATGTTTTTGTTCTTCCAACAACAACGTTCCTTCTCTTCTTCACATTAAAAAATAACAATTGGCATCAGAGCTCTTTTCTTAAGGGACATGTGAGTGACTTTGACACGCCATGGAAGTTGAATCAAGTTTTTCTTCAATTTCTTCACCGGTGTTTGATGGAGAAAACTACCAAATGTGGGCAGTTCGCATGGAGACGTATTTGGAGGCTTTGGATCTTTGGGAAGAAGTGGAAGAGGACTACACAGTTCCAGAAATTCCAGCCAATCCTACTTTGGCTCATATCAAAGCACATAAGGAGAAGAAGACGAAAAAAACTAAGGCAAAATCTTGCTTGTTTGCTGCAGTTTCAACCACCATTTTCACTCGAATTATGTCTCTAAAGTCAACAGAGGAGATATGGGATTATCTCAAGGTTGAGTACGAAGGGGATGAGAGAATTCGTGGGATGCAGGTGTTGAATTTAGTTTGTGATTTTGAGCTGCAAAAGATGAAGGTGACTGAGACAGTCAAGGAGTATGCTGAAAGACTTCTTAGCATAGCAAACCGAGTCCGGTTGCCGGGATCATCTCTGGCAGACTCGAGGATTATGGAGAAAATCCTTGTAACATTGCCTGAAAAATTTGAGGCTACTGTTACCACCTTGGAGAATACCAAGGACTTGTCCATGATTCCTCTGGCAGAACACTTGAGTGCCTTGCAAGCACAAGAGCAGAGGCGTGCAATGAGACAAGAAGGAACTATTGAAGGAGCCCTAGCAGCTAAGCATCACAATAATGGTAAGAATAGGAAGCAGAAATTCAAGAAGCCTCACGCAGAAGGAGACAACTCAAAAACAGAGGGCAAAACCACGGCTGGAAATAGAAAATCAGGTGTGAAGAAGGAGTATCCTCCGTGTCATCACTCCAATAAAAAGGGTCATCCCCCTTTCAAATATTGGAGGAGACCTGATACGAGATGCAACAAATGCAATCAAACCAGGCACGAAGCTGTTATATGCAGAAACAAAAATCAACAGCAAAATGAAGAAGCTAAAGTTACAGATCAAGAGGAAGAAAATCAACTGTTTATCGCTACATGTTTCGTGGGCAGTGAATCAAATGAAAACTGGCTGATTGACAGTGGCTGCACCAACCATATGACTCATGACAAGGAGTTGTTTAGAGATTTGAAGCCAACTAACATCACCAAAGTTAGAATTGGCAATGGGGATTATATCTGTGTCAAAGGAAAGGGGATTATTTCGATTGCAAGCTATGCAGGTACAAAACTTATACAGGATGTTCTCTTTGTTCCTAAAATTGTCCAAAATCTGTTGAGTGTGGGCCAACTAATTGAAAAATGATTTAAAGTTATTTTTGAAGATGAATATTTCTTAATTAAGGATGCAACTAATCAAGATATCTTCAAAGTAAAAATGAAAGGAAAGAGTTTTTCACTCAATCCTTTAAAGGATGAGCAATCTGTTTTTTCACTCAAAGAAGATGTCACTCAAATTTAGCACAAGAGAGTCGGACACTATCATCATCAAGGGATGTTGCAACTAAGAGAAAAGGAGTTGGCACTTGATGTTCCCAAACTTAGTGATACAATCCCAAGCTGTAAAGCATGTCAGTTTGGAAAGCAAAAAAGGAAGCCGTTTCTGAAGTTAACCTGGAGAGCCACTCACAAATTGCAGCTCATCCACACGGATGTTTTAGGCCCTCAAAGAACACATTTTTTAAAAGGTAGTCTCTATTATATTATTTTTATTGATGACTTCACCAGAATATGTTGGATTTTTTTTTCTTGAAGTTTAAATCAGAAGTAGCTCAAGTATTTTGGAAATTCAAAGCAAAAGTTGAGAATGAAAGTGGCTGCAAAATTCAGATTGTAAGGTCTGACAATGGGAAAGAGTATACTTCCGCAAAATTTGACAAGTTTTGTGAAGATGCAGGCATAGAGCATCAG